TGTGTGTGTGTGTGTGTGTTTATTGAAGGAGTGACAGGGATGCAGAAAGGGTTGGAGAAGAAACAGGCGCATGTGTGTGTGTCTGTGTGTGGGAGGAGAGAGAGAGAAAATGAAACTAGGAAAAAGCAGGCATGTGTGTCTGTGTGAGTTAGTGTGCGATCGCAGAGAAAGCATTACTGGGAGAGAGAAAAGCAGGAGGGACCGACAACTAAAAAAGAGGAAGGATAAAAGGAATGTGTGTCCCTGGGAAAAAGAATGCATGAGAGAAAAATGAAAAATAAGAAACTGGTATGGAGGGATGCTTGTGTTTGTGTGTGTGTGTTCAGAGATCAGTGCATGTTGGTCTTAATAATAATACTAGTGTTCTCTGATGATAATTAATTTCCACATATAAACAATTCCAACAGCGTCTTATCTCACATATGTTATTAACGCATTTGTTCAATCATTCAGTCGGCTCTGACCTCTGACTCTGAGCTCCTTTATTCACATGCTTGTACAGGAGCCATGTGACGCACAGCACTCGTCATGTATGTGCTTTACGGCACACAGCTGCAGGCACACTACCTGCTGTGAGCTCAGAATCTGATATCAACTCCTCGCTCTGATTGAGAGGATTTGCTGCGTGTGGGAGGCTGTTTTTTTCCCTCCTCTAATTTTAAATCACTAGATCTTTAACGGTTGGCACCCCTTCGAACATGGATCCACCTGAGAACCTGCACAAGATGACAAAACACATGGCGGTGCCGCAGAGAGAACTTTGCCTCACTGTTTCCATTTGGGGGAGCCGCTAGTGAGCAGACGGAGAGAGTGCACGCTCTCTTCATTCCGCCACATCTGCTCTGTGATGGAACGAAGCATGATCTGCACTTTGATCACAATGAATTATTCCTATCCCTGACTATAAATACGGTCTCTCTCTCTTGCCTTGGAATCTGTGCTCGCGCCAGTGTGGCTTTCTCCTGAGTGTTTCGCTGCGGTCGTACTGCTGCTCTGGTTTCCTTCCCCGCACACTGAAGGAATCAGTCGTCATACCTCAGTGCAAAGCTTTTCTGGACTTTTTTGTGTCTAGCCCAGAACATTTTATAGACTGAGAGCAAAACAGTAATAGCAGTATTTTGCAAATAATAGTCTTACAACAAGAAACCTAAAAAGAAAGAGGAACAATAAAGCTGTCCCAGGTGATGCTCACCTTCTGGCACCATTTTCAAGAATGTATTATTCTACATAGAAACTTTAGCTATTCAACATAGCAACCGTATTTAATATGTTTGTTTCCATCACAACTGTTAATTGCCGTACAATACAAAGCTTTCTCTAATGTCCTTCATGCACACGCTGTGTATTTGTAACAAATCCAGTAACTCTCAGTTATAGTTTCACAAATACACAAATAATATAAAGTGATTGATTTCTGCTAATTCAATCCCACTAATAAAGCCATCCAAATCCTCCCTGTCTGTCCGTCCTTCGATTTTCTCGACCAACGTTCATCAAATCACTTCCTTTGTCCTCCTGTTTGCAGAAAAGCCTCTTGAGACTTAAGAGCATCTCTGCTGACAGTTTGAGCTGCTGTAACAAACTGTTTCCAATTAATACAACACTGAAGTGTCATAATAAATAACTGTTTAATGCTGATGGAAATAAGCAATTGTTCAGCTAATAGGTTCAACGTACAGTACACAAATGACAGCATATCTTTGAGAGGACGACGTGTCATTTTAAAATCATGGTATCAAGTTAATGTCATTATTTTTATGTTCACAAGTTGTAATTACTGATATTTTGTTTAAAAAATTAATATATTGTAATTTCTGTGGAAAAGTTTTTCTTTTGAATTTTATAACATGCCTGAGGAAAATATTACCAACAGCCTCATCTTGACCCACTGACATTATTCCTTTGTATTTCCCACATTAAATTACCTGCCTGCTAGCTTATTAAATTGTTAGCTTCTGTGGCTTCGGTTACATTAGCATTCTTGTTGCCGTTGCCTAGCAGCAGCATTCCGCTGACTTCACCATTTGAACGCCAAGCACAGGCCTACACAATGTCTCTCGTCCGAACACACCATCAGTAACGATAGTCGGACAACAGGCAGGAGTCTTTCGGACCAAGTGGCCCAGCCCTTAAGTAGGGTTGTGCAAAATAACCAGAATCTGGTATCCTCTTAGTCATTTCATATCCAGATACATTTATGGCTGTTTCCTTCTTCTCTTCTGTGTCATGATCTCCTGCATGTTTGTGTTGTCTGCATGCACAGTCCCTGTTTTCACCTGAACACAAAGCATCATCCAAATAATGAAAATATAACAGTGATTTGTGGCACAACTAATGAAATGATAGAGTGATATTATAGAGAATATTATATTAAATGGAACATGGAATAGTTGTTTTTCTATCCTCCATCCTACACAACATTTATCGTCATATGGCACAGTGCTACTATACCCAGGTTGTGTTAATGAAACATTCACATGAAAGATGCATTGCACAGTCCCTCAACAACTTATGGCATCCTGTCGCTTTAAGCACATCCATCAATCAATCAATCTCCAAGGAAGAGCTGTCATGCGTGCTTCGAAATACAGTCAATCTTTAATGTAGACTCT